GCGCTGGCGCCTGCCGCTTAGACGGATGCGCTCAACAAATGCGATTTGTTTTTCCCATTCGCAGAGTTGCCGATACCAATATGTCGTATTTCTAAGAAATCTAAGTCTACCCAAATTTCGGGAAAAATAGCTGCGGATTCCACATAAGAGTATTCCAAAAATGAAAAAAGTTCAAACTATTAAAATTGTATTAATGTTTCATGGTTCAAATCATATTTTTCATGTTTGTATATTGTTGTATAAATGATTTTGTAATCCCTATTCTTGTTGCCAGTAGAGATACAACGGTATTGAGAGAAATCATGGACCGCTAGATAGGGCTACAACTACCATATGACTATCAAATAGTAGTGATAAACAGGGTTTGTTTATAGCACAGTTGCCTGGTGTGGCGAATTTGCGCCATAGGGGCGATTTGACAACTTTGAAGGACAACTATAACGGGTACTATGGTGCCCGGTATTCGGGAATCTGGCAATACCTGATGATTCCTAACGTTTATTACGCCAGATTGTTTGCTGACTTGCGCAGTACAACATGACAATCAACGTGACTGAGCACGCGGTAACCCTGGTTTAAGGTGTTATATTTAAAGAGCTTGGGGCAGTTAGGTATCTAGGTCACATTTTTTTTATGTATTTCGAGAAATCCGTTGAGTAAATACTAGATCACGTTTCTTGCTGAGTTTGCTGAAAATTCTACAATAGACGAACATTTTGAGAAACAGAGATTTGGTGACGACAAAATCGTAAAAATATAACGCATTTTCGTAATAATTTCTTTGTTGAAAAGACTGTGGCTTGATGACCCATTGAACGAGTATAGTGTCCCGCTCCGCTTTGAATATTCGAATCACTATACTCCAGCAGCATTTCAGCTTCAATGTTATCTTTATGCAGTTCTAACGTCTAGGCCATGCTGATTAAAAGCTTGAATGAATCAACACTTAACTCTAAATTCCCCACAATTCGGGAAGCTCTACTCAAATTGGCAACACAGCGTATCTGCCTATTATTCTCATTCGTGATACAGGTCTGCGGTCTGCTGCAAATTTCAGTATGCGTTGAGTCGACAGAAGAAGTACAGTAGATGCGCGCATTACGCACCAGTTCGATTGGACGTCCTGTGAACCGATTTCGGTGATTTCGAGATTTCACGAAATCACCTAAATCACTCTACTTATCTTTATGAATGGATAATTGGTTTTGTAGCAATAAAGGTTGCGTCTAATAACAAAAATAAGAAGATACCCACTCTAACAAAAAATAGTACACTCTTAAAAATGTGTAACGAAAATAAAAAGATATTCTAACAAAAAAATAAGTTCTCAAAAATAAAACGCAATAATGAACACAAATGTTTCAAATGGTCCTTCACAGCTGGGGCTCAAAAACGTCTCCTTCATGCAATGAACAGTATGTCAGGCGGTTATAAAACTCCTGACGAACTGTCAAGACGGTAGAAGGCTGTATTTGCCCGAGCGCTTCAACGATTTTCACCTGTAGGTTATGCAAATTGTCTGCTCTCTCATTGAAAGTGTAAACAGTACTTTTCACATAACCCCACAAGAAAAAATCATTGGGCGCTAGATCGGGTGATCTAGGAGGCCATTTTATTGTTCCGTTACCGCCAATAATCCGGTGGCCGAACACACTTTCAAGGTAAGTGTGTACGATCGCCGCATTATGCGCCGGGCATCCATCTTGTTGGAATCAAATATTAGCGAGATTTTGCAGCCGTAAGAGTTCCATCAATAAAGAACGGTCCGATAATGTTATTACCTAGAATTCCTGCCCACACATTCAGTTTCTGTGGATACTGCGTGCGGACGGGAATACTGAGGTGTTTATTTTCCCGAGACCAATACCGAACGACTGAAGGATTGTGATGACCGTGGAGAGGGAATGTGGATTCATCAGTAAACAAAATGTTACCAATAAAACTTCCATCCCTGTTCGCCTTCTCCATGACCGTTTCACAAAACTCCATTCGACGGTATTTGTCTAAAGGAAATATTTCTTGAACCGTTCCAACCTTGAAGCTATGATAGCCGTTGCCATGCAAAATATTTCTTGTTGTTCTGGGTGTGAGATCGGCTATTGGTACCATTTCAGCAATTTTTCTGCTTGAGCATGGCTCAGATACTTCTGCAGCGGCACAAACAGCAGTTTCGATTTCCTCCCTTTTCTCGCTAATTTTTGGTTTCCAACCTTCAGGGTGCATGCAGCTATGGCACCTATGTAAGCAGCCCACCCTCTTGAATTTTTCGTAGGTATTTATAACCGTTGCGTGAGACGGAATTGGCCGATCTGGGAAGCGTACCGCAAATAATTCAACAACCGCGCGTGCTGAATTATTCTGGATGTACCATTCTATACTATAACTATCTAAAACTGTAATGACTCATCGATGTTCACGTGAACATCACTTAACTACCAGTAGTCGGCTGTTCATAGGCGGGGTATGAATGTTTAACATGGGTGAACTAGATTTGTCACATGCTTAATAAAGAGTGGTTTGAAACATATTGTAAGTCAAAAATTTGGGAATTACCTTTATTCATCGTCGCTTCCACTTACATCTGACAGTAATAAACTGTCGTTATCGCTTTCCTCGTTGAAATTGACTATAACTGGCTCTATGATGGTGTCGATGTGGTGGTCAAGCTGCCACATTTTTGTTTCTTCCTTCACAACATGACGGATAGCATTCTGCCAAGCTTCGGGCGTTACTAGCTGTATGGAAGTCTCAAGTAAAACCTTAACGTCTGGTAATTTGAAGGTTGTGTTATGGCGCGCAATATAACCCTTCACTTGAGCCCAGATGAGCTCTATTGGGTTCAGTTCACAGTGGTAAGGCGGTAACCGCAGCACAGTGACACCACATTCACGGGCCATCTCATCAGTCACGTAACTAATGTTCGCAGGTTTGTGCTGTTTAATTTTTTCATACAATTCCGCTTTCACACATGAATCGTCAAACGGGATTCCTCTTTCGCGCAATCATTGCTGCATGTCACTTTTTCGAGATCCCATAGTCGGTACACGTTCGGCTCGACGACTATGGTAGGAAGCATTATCCATGACGATCACAGAGTTGGGCTCAACTCGCTGAAGCATCCCTTGAAACCAGCTCTCGAAGCAGCTGGCATTCATTTCGTCATGGTAATCACCTCCTTTCTTAGAGACGAAAATCAAGTCACACTCTTCTAAAAAGCCACTATCGCTACCAATATGAGTTACGATCAATCTTTGACCTTTCCCTGACGGTCCACGAAGACCTGTTGACAAACCTTCAATGCTTGCTTGTCGGTTACTCACTACGTTTTTGTCTATCCAGGTTTTTTTAACTGTGTGACCTGCATTTACCCATGTCTCGTCCAAATAATAGATTTTTCTGCTTTGTCGCCTATATTCAATCATTTCGCGTAGGTATTTTCGACGCCAGGCGACTATTTCAGGTCTCTCTATCAATACTGACTTCCGATTACGCGTTTCGTAACGAAAATTAATTTCGTGCAGGGATTTCCTCATTACCTCGACGCTCATTTGGGGTATAATTTCATTTTCCTTGATCGCTGCATGTACAGCCTTGAGGGTTGGCATCTCATTCCTAAAGAAGAATGAATGTACGGTTCGCCTTAACGCCATTTTGCTATCGTCATCCAATTTAACGGCCTTTCGTCCCTTCAAATTAAAGTTTTGATCAGTAGTAGCTCCAATTTTCTTCTTTTCATGCACCACCCTGCGAATGGTCCACTCTGGAACGCCTCTCATACTTTCACAACGCGCGAGTGCATCTCCCTTCGACATAGTTCTGTTCAGATAATTGAACACGTTGAGCACGATTTCTTTCGCGTCCCTCTTCAGTGCTTTACGAAGCCGTCTACTTGTTCCCTGGCTTTCAGTACTTCCACTCGTGTCATTTGTACTCTCCATGGTTAAGTATAACCAAAACAGTAACCACAGAAACCACAACAATAACAATCACACAACAATTCTTATAAAAACACACAATATGCGATCGCTCAACGAAACACGTTCCAATGCGTTGCCGACGCCTATGAGTCTGCCGGTCGAGGCGCGTCTTTGATTTCATTGGTTCTACCTGCGGAGAACAATCAGCCATTATTTCCATCTCTGTCTGTGCTGTTGACCACGGCAAAGCCACAGAAACGACATATGTCGTACGCTATACGGCTGTATACTACACCATGTATACTACACATCTATATATAGACACCGTTCGCAACAATTGAGAATTAGTGAGACCACTTTAAGCCTGATTTTACACATTAATTTACACCTCGTTTCATACAAAATCCAACTAACACAAGAATTGAAGTCGGCAGGCCATCAACAGCGGCGTGTTTTTGTTCATTGGATGCTGGAAAGAGAAGACGGATTTTCGGCCAAAGTGCTCTTTTCTGATCAGGCTCATTTTCACCTCAATGGGTACATGAATAAGCAAAATTGCAGATTCTGGGGGGCTGAAAATCCACACCAATATCATGAACAACCTCTCCATCCTGAAAAAGTGACTGTTTGGTGCGGATTATGGGCTGGTGGCATCGTTGGACCATTCTTATTTGAAGATGCCGAAGAAAAGGCCATTACCGTCAACGGGCAACGTTATCGCGGCATATTAACAGACTCTTTGTGGCCACAATTGAATCGCGTTGGTGCCGACGATCTTTGGTTTCATCAAGACGGAGCAGCGGCTCACACATCTCGCCAAACAATCGCCTTATTGCACACGAAGTCGCGAAGACCGCATAATTTTACGAAATTCAGATGTCAGTTGGCCCCCGAGATCGTGCGGTTTAACACCTCGTGACTATTTTCTTTGGAGATTTTTGATAGGAAAAGTGTATGCGAATGGTCCCCGGAAAATTCAAGACCTAAAGTGCAATATTCGGACTGAAATTGCGGCCATAGACCCGATTATTATGGGAAAAGTCATTGAAAATTTTAATGTTCGGATGTTGGCCTGTAAACGAAGCCGCGGTGGTCACATGACTGATGTTATTTTGCATACATAAATGGCATCAATCAAAAAAATCGATTTCACCTCGTAAAAAGCGTGTTGATTTTTCAAATACAAAAAAGTAATAGATACGCACCCTGTACCATAACACCTTATTCCAATGCCTGCAGGATGAAAGCTGTTTGTATAGTCTGCGATATTTGTATCCGACAATTCCATTCTGCAACTGAAAAATATGGTAAAGGTCGCTCAAGGTCACCAGGCACAGACAAAAATTGTTTAAATCGGGCACTTATTCACCTACAGCTGCTACACGGTCCTAAGTATCTGCAAATTTCCAATTCGTTCATCACAGACTTTCATCCTCGTCCCAACTGTTATGAACTTGTATGATAAAATGTATGTAAAACATCTTATCTAGGCTTATACAGCTCAAGTGTAACAGCTGCACACTATATATGACAATAAAAATAGTCGTGACAATTGAATGCACCATTTAAGTCATTGTATCCCCATTATCTGCGGATCAGAGGCGTCCGAAATTCACGTCTCAGAGGCTAACTGAAAAATACATAGATCGATCGTTCAACCCGACTTGATACAAATGTGTCTTAACATTCAAATAAAGATGTCTACCTATCTCTCTATATACGGGGGTTGTTTCAAGAATAAGGCTCCTAAAATTTTTTTCAGGAAGGAATATTTTATTTGAATAATCGATTTCGCCATTGGAAAACTTGATCTTTGAGCTATTTTTCTCCATAGTCCTCACTTTTTTCTACGACGTGAAATCACATTTGCACTTCCGCCTCGAGGACGTCCGTTGCCAGCCCGTTTAGAAACTTGGTAGGTTAGGTCAGGTTAGGTTTCTTGTGAGTGCATCAATAACGATCCTCCACTGCGACTCTTGGGTCTTTTTTTTTCGGCGTGTGTGGGACTCCAGGTTGTCTTGAGGAGACCACCTAATACCCACTAAACCCTAACCTCTGCGTGGCCCGACTCATCAGCGTCTCGGTAGGCCATGTGTTGTGCGTGACCTGCGGTCTGCTACAACGTCTCCTCATGTGTTTCAGTCTCTGGGAACGCCGGGTTGGTTCCCTTTACCTCGCACATTCTATCGATGTGGTTAAGCGATCATCGATAGAGGATCTGCTAGGTTCTCTTGAAACCCTTGATTTCGAAAAATCAAGAGTGTCAAGTCCTCTTACCTATATATTGTTCCTGGTCCTGGTCCTGATGGGTCCTGGTCCTGGTGGGTCCTGGTCGTGGCGGGTCCTGGTCCTGGTTGGTCCTGATCCTGGTGGGTCCTGGTCCTGGTGGGTCCTGGTCTCGGTAGGTCCTGGTCCCGGTGGGTCCTGGTCCCGGTGGTTCCTGGTCCTCTGCATCCACGCCGTGGAGGGGGAAGGGGAGAGCAACCGCGGGTACTCCTAGTCAAGGTTCCAGTTAGCGTCTGCCAACTGTGACTTGGGTCTAGGGTACCTGGTTCTGCGTTTGCGAGGCTTCTCGTCCGGATCGTAGTCCATGAGGAATCGTAGCTGCTCGTTCGGGTGGTCCTGAGCTTTTCCGCTGTTTTCCTCATGTACTCGTGAATGGTGTCCCAATGCAGGTCTCTACGCAAGGTTGAGTTTCTTACGTAGGATGGTGCACTGGTGGCGATCCGGAGTAGCTTCATCTCTAGAGCAGCAAGTCGCTTGCGGTAGCTGGGAGCAGCGTACCCCCAGACCGCGGAGGCGTAAGCGAGCTGAGGTCTGGCGATGGCCTTGATCAGTCGTAGCTCGGTTGCTAGCGGCATCCGGCTGTGTCTACCTAGTAATGGGTAGAGTTGGGCCATGGCTGCTCTGGTCTTTGCGATGGCAGCTTCTATGTGGTCTTTCCAGGTGAGGGACTTGTCAAATACGATCCCCAGATATTTGACTTTGTCGCTCCACTGGATATCTTCGTCGAAGATGGATGCTTCGAGAGGTCTTGCAATCCTTCTTCGTTGGATGAAGATTGCCTGCGTCTTCTGGACGTTGATGCGGATTTTCCATTTCACGCACCAGTCCTGGGTGTGGTCCAGTTCATCCTGTAGTCTCCTACGGATGATCTCGGGTCATCGATGCTTGGCGGCTATAGCAGTGTCGTCTGCATATAGGGCCAGCATTGTGTCAGCTGTCTTCGGTACGTCGTGAGTGTAGATGTTATAGAGCAGGGGGGCAAAGGCTGACCCCTGGGCCACGCCTGCTTCCAGTTGTCGTCTTGTTGAGTGGCATGTACCAATCTTCACCGTGAAACATCTTTGTGTTAGATAGCTCTGGATCAGTTGGCACATGTTTGCATCGATTCCGGCGGCTTCCATTTTGGCGATGAGTCCATCATGCCAAACTCGATCGAAGGCTCGTTCCACGTCCAGCAGGACGAGGCCGGTTGCCTCCTGGAAATTGAAGCCACTGGTGATGTTTTCTGTCAGTCGTAGCGCTTGGAGTTCCATGTTGTGGGAGGATCTGAAGCCGAATTGCTCTGGGGGGAGAAGTTCCAGTTCTTCTGCCTGCTTCTCTAGTCGAACGGCGATAGCCTTTTCGACTACTTTGCCCATCGAGGAAACCAGGCTGATGGGCCGGTAGTTCTGGGGCAACTTCCGGTCCTCGCCTGGCTTGGTGAGCATTATAACCTGGGCTTCCCGCCACCGCCGCGGGAAGTGGTTAAGTCTCAGAGTGGCATTGGCGATGTTGGTGAGCGCAGCAATGCCTTTGGAGGGAAGGTTCTTCAGCATCCTGTTGTTGATGCCGTCCCTTCCCGGCACCTTTCTGACCTTCAACCTGCGGATGATCAGACGGATTTCCTCTGGACTGGAGGGCTGATCCGTCTCCTGGCCAGGTAGTCGAGTCCTCATGATTTAGGCTGCGACTTCCACGGCCTCCTCGTGGTTGTCGTCCTCGTCTTCATGGTAATTGAGTCTGCATTCGGATTCTAGCGAATCGGCGAATGCTTCGGCTTTTTCTTCACTGGAGTAGGCCAAGCCGCGTTGGCCGTGAAGAGTGGGGATCGTGGTGGGCTGACGACGAAATTTTCGCTGCATAGTCCAGGCCGTACCATCCTGGGTCTCTAGTTCTGCACAGGCTGCCACCGAGAGCTTCTTTGCAATTCCACACTAATTCCGATGTCGAGTAGGTGGAGTCAAGTGCTGTAAGTGCGGCTTGACTATCTGAAAAAACAATTGTAGTTCTTTGCCTCAGTTGTAGTTCTGCGATTATCCTGGCACCCAGTTTTATAGCATATAGCTCTGCCTGGAAGATCGAAGCCCAGGTTCCTGGGCTAATAGGTTTTTTAATCTTTAGCTCCGGCACGAAGATACCAGCTCCAACACCTACCTCGGTCTTGGAGCCTAGAAACTTGGTAACACTGTTTCTTGGAACTCCTCGTCCGTCTCGAACCGTCGACCGGCTAGGTGCTCCTTCAGTTTTGGAAATGCTACGTCAGGGCTTTACCCATTCAGCAATGGAACACTTGCAATAAAATTTAAAAACGTAATCATGAATGCGATGTTCTTCACAGAAGAACTTAAACAGCATATTTAAACCTATATTCGCATAATAGCCAAATGGTTGGAGCTCCCCGTTGTGGATGCGATTCCGTCAATGTAGTTTTTATTTATATGTGTTCCTATTTAGGCAGCAGCGGTGGCCGCAGTGGTAGACCCTTCGGTCTCCTGATCAGTCGCCGTGCGCTGCGCGGGTGCGAATCCCGTCCCAAGAGGAATTTCTCTCTTGGCTATGGATGTTGTGATTGTCCGTGAGTGGTAGACGGTCTCTGACTGTCGAACGCGGAGGTACCACCCGGCAGATCTCCTAGGCGGGTCCAGAATTTGTGCATCTTGCATGCACACGTGTTGCCTCGTCAGAATCCGTGTGGCGTCCCCCTTTTCCCCTGTATCCCCCTATAGTTGTTTCATCCATGCTTGGATATTCTATGATGTTTTCGATTCCATAGAGTATCTGTTTCTCATTAAAAGAAAAAAATATATTCAACGCTATGTGCCGCTCCCTGTGTCCATGTTCGAAAACCTAAATACCGCGGCACCGCGACTGCTATAACATGGCTTGATAATCCTATTTGAACTGCCTAAAAGGTTAGTAAAACTTAAAAAAGCATTCACAGGCAGATTGTTTTACAGTCTCGTCTCCCTGGGAATAAAAAACCCACCCACTACAACCTCAAACCTCGATTTTCATCCCTACAAAAAAATTTCTGAACATGATCAGAAACTAAGTTTGAGGGGTTTTTATTTTTATCGTGTTTTTGGTCCTGGCTCCGCCACCACTGGACCGAATTTCAAGAGTTGTAAAGTGACAGACAGAGACAGACGGACTCACGGAAATGGATGAGATGGGTTTTTCGCGTTGTAATATACATGTCATTTAACGTTCAAAAAACATAATCTCATCTTCGAAAATTTGTACTATTACAATACTTCCTCGCCAGTAGGCGTGGGAAGTAATGACGGTGAACTTAGCGTAATTTGCTTATAGTAGTGGCGGTGCGCTATAGCGTTTCTATGTTTTTTAAGCTCTGTCGAACTGTATATAATTTATAATAAATGATATACGTGCGCCAATCTTATTTTTAAGGAGTAAACCTCGCACTGATTTTATGGATTTTTATGAGCGATATGGCAACGTGGATAGATGGAACTATAGTATCATTGTTTATACAATTTTGAGCAAGCTAACAAATAGTAGTAGTCTCATTACCATTTAACTACGCCACTGCACTACCAAAGCATGAAGACTGTTACAGCCGGTCCTAGTGGCATACCTCAAGTGGTCTCGTACCCCAAGAGAGGCCATTATAATGTATTTATTAAAATTGTGACAAATTTATTGTGTTTTTGCCAGAACAATGCTCCGTTATCTGACGCAAGATCTGAAAGTCAGTTTCTGTGAAGGGTCCTACAGATTTCACGGAGAGATAGGCCGACTTTTGGTCGGTTTCAGAGGTATTTGTAACAGTTTTCCGCCACTAATGATGTAGGCATAGTGTCATGGTAAATACCTCAAGTGGTTTTGTATCGAACAGGGGATCCAATATGGGAAAGTTAGAGATTTCATCAGTGGATTGAAGTATTTTATATAGGACGAATTTGTTACACTCCAATTGGCCAGGAACTTTGACAAGAGCGAGGTATACTTTATCTGAAGTCACTTGAAACACTGTGAAATACCGGGTGCGTTTTATATATCTATATTTAACACGCTCTGTTGCTGCAAAAATCGCCAAATTTCGCAGCAAATATCCCCCGTATAAGATCAAAGGCAGTTTCACCGGTCCACGTGGAGTAAAGCACGCCTATGCGTGGACATAGCCAATGAGAAAGCGTGTATTTCAGAGCTCCGAACAAGTGCAGGTGGCTACTGAAAATTGAAACAGTTTAGCCAGTGCCGTGTAGCGGTGAATAAACGTGATT